TAGGAAACAACTAGAAAATTGCTGTTCCTCTTCAGTGTCTGTGTGTTGAACCTGAAGTCAGTTCTTTGCTTGCCCTGGAAGGGATGATCCCACAATCACAGCATCCTGGGCTTTGGGTAAAATTCCTCCCAGGGAGGGTACAGAATTGTTGAAAGAGGGAGAAATGTGTTGTTTGCCATCTAAGCTGTTTATGAAGAATCTTGTGCATGTTCTCTTTGGTTGGGTTTGTTTTCCTTCTTGAGCTGAGTGAGTAGAAACTCCTCACATTCAGTGCATGAAGTTTTTAGCATTAAATATTAGGATGGGTTGGGGTTGAGGTTTGAGCCAAAGCATCTGACATTTCTCCTTGGTTTTCCTTACCTCAGGAAGAAAACAACGTGCCTTTCAATTCCCTTTTTCTTCCCTCTCTTTTTTAAAACAGAAGCCAGCTGCTTCTGATGCTTTCAGGTCTTAATTTGCTTTCCTGGAGAAACACATCTTATGTGAGGGGTGAGGGGAGAGATGCTGAGGAGTTGGCAGTTCCCCCAAAGCCCTATTCTAGTTTTCCCTGCTATTGATTTTGATTTTCTGGGACACAAGGGATGCACGTTCCATACTCTGCAGTCCATCACAAGTTTATCTGGCTTAGCTGGAGGGCTTTGTTCAAGCAGGGCTTGCTCACACACTGTATTTCTTATTTATTCCCCAAAATAACCCAGTTTTTGGCCATACCACCTCTGAGGGACACTCTGCACTTTCAGAGGGGGGAAGACAAAGTTCTTGGCTCCTGTGTGTCCCTTCAGGGCTCTAAATGTCAAGATTAATAGTCAAGGTTAATAAAATATCTGCCACAACTGTGCCAGCCTTGCTTAGAAGCTGCTCCTTGTCATGGAGGTGGGGGCTTGGAATCATCAGCTCCAGTGGGAATGGGGAGGAAGGGATTTCAATTTTTGCTCCTCAGTGGGAATGTTTCAGCCTGGCCTGGCCTCTCAGAGCATTAAAACAACCTCTGTGTGTTCACTGGGAGAACTTCCCACAGGGAGATGCTTCCTGGAATGTTCCAGGCTGGGTTGGATGGGACTTGGAGCAACCTGGACTAGTGAAAGGTGTCCCTACCTGTGGCAGGCGATGGGATGGGATGAGCTTTAAGGTTCTTTCCCACCCAGACCATTCCAGGATTCCCTGTTGGCCGCTGCCTCCATCTCCTGGGCCAGGAGGGGGGAGGAAAACCCCCCTAAAACTCAACTTCTCCCTATTTTCTGGCATTTTTTCTCCTCTCTTTTCCCTCTTTTTTTTTTTTTTGAAACTCATGCACTGCTCTCTACCACACTGCCTCTGCTGGTGGAATGTGTTTGTTTTCCTGAGGAGGTTTGAAAGTTGCTGCTTTCTTTCCTCCATTCTCCCTGAAAATTTCTTCCTTCTTTTATGAAACCTGTAAAAAATTTTGTTGGGGGAGTTACTGGTCTGAGTTATTAAAACTTGGTTTTAATTAAACAACAGTTCCTGTTCGCTCACTGCTGATCAATTAAAGATATGTGTTTATATCTCTGTCTTTATATCTATATGTGGATTTTATCTATAACTTTTTGCACTATCCACTCTTTTTAGAGATGCCCTTTTTGCAGTCAGACTTTGGTGAATTTGAAAAGAATTCATTGTCTTGTAAGGTCGGGATCCCAAAAGGGATCCCTGAGCTTTGCCCTTTTTTTAATGGCTTTGATCATTATCCTAAGCCTCAAAAATGCTGTGCCTACAATAGCTAAGAACTGCCTCTTTTTAAATAAAATAGAAATTTAAGAAATAGTTCAGTGCAGAGTATTGGAGTTACAGTTTCTTCATGTGCAGAAATTTGGCACCAACTGAATTTCCTGTTGCTGTCGTGTTTATTTTTCTACTATTTTAATAAATGCAGGGTCATTTTTTTAAAATGTATATTTAAATAATTTTTATTATCGGAGGAAGTTGTCGTGGTGATTATTGGTCTCATAAAATTTCTATAAATCTGCATTTAAAATAATAAACCATCAAATTTCTGATAGATACAATCCCCCAACTAACCCGAGTGGGATTGGGATCGGGCTCTGCATAAGAATATATTCCTTTATTTGTCCCAAGGTTTGTTTGGAGCTTCCTCTCTGGAGAGTAAAATGAACACTCCATGCCGTGGTGTTTGTATAATTCCTGCAAAACTGAAGTGGCTTTTCTATATTTTTAATATTTGGCACTGGCATCAAGTGTTCAAAATTGCTTTTTAATCCTCTGATTGCAGAATTTGGCTCTCTCTGATGCGTCTCCGATTTCTCCTTAACAACAAATGATTTATAGCCACCCCTTCTCAATCATCTCTTACAGCTTTTTACTGTAATAGATGAGATTTTTAAGCAAACCAAAACCCAACCCCAACAAACAAAAGAGCAGGAAAATTAATTTGTTTCCTCAGAGCTGAGTTTTTTTTTTCTGAGGGATAAAATTTTGCAAACACCCAAACGATGTTTTCCTTGAATGTTTCTCATTTCCGTGCATTTCATTTCTGCTCTTTATGTTTGTTTTTAAGCAGCTCTGCAGCTATTTAGCAACTGTTTTCTCTCCTCTTTAACATCCACTTGTCTTCACTGAAACTCATCCCCAGCAAGAGTTGTTATTGTAGTTGTTTTTTAGGCATTTTTTTGCCCCTCCTGGAAGATTTTTAAGTGTGTTCACTGAAATGTTCCAAGTTTCTGAGGAACCTTTTTTGAATTTTGCCTTTTTTCTTCTTATTATTCTACAGTGATGAGTTTGTTCACTTGCTTTTTTGGAGGTGGCACCAAAATCTGGGGGAGCTGACCCTTGAGATGAGACTTTTAGAATGAAATATTGGTTTAATCTCCTCCTAGACATTCATAAATTTGCTAATGGGTGTGGCATGCAGCAAAATGTTGTTTCTCTCCATGCTGTGCACGTTATTCCATGGGATTTTTTTTTTTAGTGCATCCTTCAAAAGCTGCATGAAAGGCACTAAATCTTCAGGCTTTGGCTGTAACCACAATGGATCAACTGTAACCAAAATGATCCATTCCAACTTCCAGTTCTACCTGATATCCAACAAAACCCCCTTTTCCCTCCCCACTCAGTGGAACAGGTAATTACTGTAGCAACCAGAGCCTAATTTGAAGGGTTAGTTGTTAATTAAAACACTGCAGAGGTGTAGGGTTGTCTTTTGGTGTAACCAAAGCTCCCATTCAAAGTTCATTAATCACTTTGCAGTTATTGTGCTGGGGAAGGTCAGGACAGTCGAGCTGCCTGCAGTAAACAAATTCCTGGCCTTGCAGAGCCACCCATGGGCCCGCTGTCCCTTTGTGCTCCAATTCCCAGCCATAATTAAATGTTAAATTGGTGCTGTCAGTGCTCTGTAAACCAAACCAGGGGCCTGCCCTCTGCTGGAAACTCAACCCAAACTTCCACGGATGAATTAGCGTGCATCATAATTAAATCATCGACTCTTCCCTTTTAATTCATTTGGAAACAGGAGATCTCTTCCCATGGAAAAAGGCTCAGCTTTCCTGACAGCCTAATTAAGTTGCCAGCCTGGCCTGGGTGGGCCCTGCTCAGCCAACAGACGTCGAGCATCTCCTCTCAACCTGCTCTCCTCAGTCCTGCTCCTCTCAAGCCCACAATGTTTTGCCACTCTTGATTCCTCCCTAGTTACAGCAAGTTCATGGATTCATGGATTATTCATCCGGCTCCTGCTCTGTCAGAGCTCCCACAGATGATCCTCCTTCCTGTGCTGATGTTAAATCACATTGATTATTTTTGTTGTTGTTGTTGTTTCTAAAAGCTGACGATGCCACATAAATGTTCTTCCAGGAGTTATTCAATTAAGGTGAAGTTTTTAGAAACTTCTGAGCTATTAACAGGAATTATAGAAGAGCTCAGGGTTATAAATAAGATTAAACAACAACTTCGCCCTGTCTGGGTGTGATTTTTTGCATGAAAAAACCCAACCATTAAAGCTTTTCTTCTTCGGTAATAATTGCTAGAGGTAGAGAGTGGTAAAATATTATAATTCTTTAAAGTTAGTGCCACATATATGACATTATTGAGTGTGGTGCCATAAATCAGTGTGAGACAGTAAAACTAGTGAAGAGGAAAACCTTTAATGGTTTTGTTTTTATGCAAAATTACATTGGATTTTGAATAGGTTTGTTTTTTTTTTCACCTGCCTTTATTTTCTTACATGTTCATGAGTAGGAGTAGGCAGGTCATTGTTAAATAGCCAATTATAAATGTTTGTCCACAGGAAATGAAGAAAAACTGCTGTTGAAATACTCTGGAAAATTATTTTGGGTACATGTGAACATGAACAATAATTCTTTTTAACTTTATATGCCAACACTGATCTTAAATAGCAACACAGGAATTTAATTTTGCTGATATTTTCTGGGGATCTTTAGGTTATAATAAAGACTTGATCATAACCTCTTTTAAATCATTTTAATATTTATATCTGAGTGTCTCACTGTCTTCCCACTGAAAACACCCACAGGACTGGCAGATTTGGGAGCTAAACCCTATTTTCCATGAAAATTCTGAATAGTGGCTGTTTCCTAATTGATTCCATTGAAAGGAAATGGGAAAGGGGATAAATTCAAGGCTGGACTCAAAGATTTAAGGTTGAACTTGATGATCTTGGAGGTCTTTTCTGACCTGAATGATCCTGTGATTCTGTTAAATTCCCATTTAAAGTTTGATATTCTTCTGTATCAAAATCTTCACTGTGTTTATTTTACATCAAACAGGCAGATACAAACCCTGATAAATATTTAATTGTAAATACATCCTTTTGGACGCTTGTTTTCACCAGTTTTCCTTGAGAAATGCTGTCTAAAATTGGCTTCACAGAAAACATCTGAGCTCCAAGTCATTTTTCTGTGAAATCAAGTTGCACAAATGCATAGAGGGAATTGTATGTGATCTAAAAATATTTAATTTTATTTAATTTGTTGAATTATTTAAAATTAATTTCATTTTTCCCCCTCACACAGGGCATACCATGTCCGTAGTGGAAAAATACTGGCAGTAAAGGTAAGAGATTCCAGTAATTTTCTTTCTTTCCAATCTTTCCTGACCTTGATTTCCTTCCCTTCCTTCTGATGGTTGGATCTCTGTTTGGTTAATTGCATTAAAATCCATGTTGTTTGGGCAGGAAACCCTCCATTTTAGTAATTCCAAATGAGCACAGATTCCCAAAAATCCAGGGTTTTTTCCCCCAGGGAAAAGCTCTTCCTGGACCTGGGCTTGTGTGAGGAAGCTGCTTTTCCCTGGTCCCTTCTCCACTGCTTCCTCAAATGAGCTTTTCCAAGCTTGGGGATGCCCTGGGAACCTGCCTGGAGAGGAGGTGGAGCACCAGGAAATCCAGGGAATTCACTCAGGCAGGAGGATCAGCGAGTTCACCCTTTGCAAGGTTAATTGAAATCACCTCCCTGTGGCAAAAAAAACCCCTTTTTTCAGCAATTTCACCTCCTTTTTCCCTTCGAGTCCATGGGTTTGGTTATTCCTGGTGGATAATGAGCATCCTGGAGATTTGGGAAACTGGGTTTTCTTGTAGGTTCTGCTCATACTGTGCCTGTCACTGTCAGTTATGTTTTATTTGGGGTGATTTCAAAGAGATATTAAATCAATATGTGTGTTATAAATAGATATATTACACATTTATATAATATATATGTTATAAATATAACAAATAATATGTAACTTACATATATACATGTGTTATAAATATATATAGTTTAAAATAAGGTGCTCATGAGCTGAAGGGAAACCTGCTCTGATGGTGATTGTGTCAGGTTGCTATTGAAAAAATTACCCAAATGCTTCTTATTTATTTATTTATTTATTTATTTGTTTGTTTGTTTGTTTATTTATTTATTTATTTATTTATTTGTATATTATATACATTTCTGT